ACCTCAGCACGTCAGCTTGATATTTGTTAGATATATATATTTGTTAACATATTTTTGTAAACCCCCCTCAGGAGAAAAGATGATTATAATGAGTGAATGAATGTGTCGCATGACAGTCTGATGAATGACAGATGTGTTCAGACGTGCACGTCTGACCAGGACCGGTTGATTAAACCGGGAGTGGGACGACTTCTTCTCTTTCAGTTCCTCGGAGACTTGATACAAAAAGTCTCTTCATGTATTTTAATAAAAACTCTTCACTCCCACTTCAGACCTGTTTTTTCACTGCAGCAGTGAATGGGAACAATGGGAATGTTTCCATCCAAACATCTCATATATCCAACATTTGCAGAAGAACTCACTTCTACTGCTGAATGTATTTTTCTCATTATTGTAAAGAACATTTTGTTCTGAACTCAAACACAGATGTTTTTTTTTGTGTAAAATAATTATCTGCTTTTTAAAATTCTACCTAGTTTGTGTCAAAATATAGTTTTTCTATAGAAACCTCACAATTCAGGATTCATTGTTTTGTTGACCCCTTAAAACTGATTATTACAAACTGAGAGTTTTACTGAGGGAGTTGGACTAAAGTTTTGGTTTTGTCACGTCAACTGAATAAATCCTCCAAGATTGTGATTCTAGTTTATTGATTAATCAACCGACCAACGATGTTTTCATCAATGTGCGACCTTTCCACTGCCAGGGGTGCTACCATAGACAAACCTAAGTAGATAGAGCTGCCAAAACTGAAGCCAGAGCTTCTCCATTGCCCCCTGGTGGCTGGCTGCAGCATAGGTCATAAATCCTGCCTCCTCCATGTTAGTAGATGGAAAAAATCAAAGCACACGTGAAATAGATTTCAGTTCATATCACACTGATGTGAGTCCCTGTGTTCATGCTTCTCAAAGTTACTTGATTATATTGAATCCGGCTGAAATGTCAAGATTGACTCTGGCTCCAAAAAAAGATCAGAAGCAGCAGCACTCGGGTTAAAGTTTTACATTTCTGGGAATATGCTTTTTTTGCCTTGATGAGTGAGATGAAATGATCTAAATCCTTCTCATGTGTATAAAGAATTATTTAATGAAGAATGTAAAGTGTCTGTGTTCAACACATCTGCTCGTCTGCTGTTGACACCGAGTTATTTATTGGCAAATAAACGTCTTCATGATTGTTTGTTGTTCCAGAAGTGAACGAGAGTAAAAAAGTCACGTGTTGGATTTCATCGTGGATTTTTCTTTTAGTTCATCATTTCTCCGGAGGCTTCGTGAGCGTGTAGGTCACAGACCAGAGGGCAACACGTCTCCGTGTGTCTCTGATCACATGTGTGCGGGTTGATGATGTCATGTGACTAATTGGAAGCAGCATAGGTGTGTGTGTGTGTGTGTGTGTGTGTGTGTGTGTGTGTGTGTGTGTGTGTTTTAAGTGCAGATTTACAGCCTCACTGATTTATAGCAACAAGCTCATCCTGTCAGAAGTGCAGCTCTATTCCCTGATGCCTCCCACTTTATTATCCTTACACACACACACACACACACGCACACGCATACACACACAGGTCTTAACCCTCATCAAGCCTTTGAAAAAGTGAGGACAAGCCAAAATGTCTTCACTTTCCAAAAATGTCCTCTCTCCGTAAGACCTATGCTCAAAAGACGCCTGTAGTTTCGTACCAACTCGCAAAGTTTCTCCTCAAAAAGTTCGGCCTTTGTTGCTCAACGTGCATTAGATTCATTGTGTTTAAGGTTAAAGACAAAAGATTATTGATTTAAAAGATTATTGTCAGAAAAAGGGAACGAGTGGAGGAGATGGAATAAGCTCAGTATATATTTATCGATGTTTACATTAATGCTTCTACTCGAAAGAGAAAAAGAAAATCTGTGGTTAAATCTCCTGCTAAAGCCTCTCTGAAGAGTGTTTGTTATTTTTTACAAATGTGTCAGCTTCCCTGTCATCACCACTTTGTTTTATCTCTGTTTCTTCTCCCTGTTCTCTGCCAGAACTCTTCTATAAAAAAAAAGAGAGAGAGAGAAATCCCTTCATATCAAACGAGGTCAAACGGAGGCTGAGCGTCTCCTCAGCGGGGGGGTCGTGTTTGTTTACAGTAATTATGCTAATGTGTCTGAATTAATGAGGAAGTCGTTTATTGATGTAAGAGTGCGACACGAACACAGATCTTTTCCTCTGAACACCCACATGACCTCAAGTTGGGTTCAGTTTAAATTTATCAGGATAGCTCAACGTTAGCAGCGTCACGGGTTTATTGTTTATTGGAACTAACACTCAGAGCTAAAGAGACAAACATTTCACTAAACTGCAAAGAACACTTCCTGTTTTTCATTTCAAACGCACACACTCATATAATCAGTGACAATAAAACCATGAACACCACATCACTAAACATGGGCTCGCTTCATTTCAGCACAGAGACGAATGCTGTTAATCCTGTGATGGTCACAGTCGTTTATAATGTGTCGCCATTGTTGAAAAGTCTGAATCGATTTCTGCGAAACCAGTAAAAGTCAAAACAGTTTCACACTCGGCTGCACAGCAAAAGGCTCCACCAGCTCCTTATTGTCAAACACGTCTTAATAATCCACACACACACACACAAACACACACTGTCCTCGGCCGAGAGCGTTGGCATTTTAATTCCGGCACAATTGAACCTGTGACCTCCCGCTGTGGTAGAAATGACCCATGATGCAGCAGAACAGAGGGAGAGAGAAACCGAAGAGATGTGGAGGAGAGGAAGGGGGAGACGGAGGGTGGGAGGGAGGGAGGGAGGAAGACGAGCAAGCAGCGGTCCCTGACCCGGCTCGTTGTGTTGGTGTTTTCTCTGGCAGTGCGTCAGCTCGAGCTGCACTCGCTCAGGGGGTTCATGAGAAACTGACGCTCACGTGGCTCTGAGAGACAAACCGGGGGAGGAGGAGAGAGGACGGGGGAGAGGATGATGGGAGACTCGCCGGGAGGCGAGAGAGAGAAGAGATTATGTTCAAGAACCCTGATGTCTTAGATGAGGGGTTTTACAAACGACAGGACAAAGACAACACATGGTGAAACTCTGACGGTTTTCTGCAGCGAATTTGTTCCCAGTTGGAACAGATCAGTAGTTTGTGCAGATTAACAGATTAAAAATAATTCTAATGCTGCACCAATTTATAAAGGGGAGAAATGTATGTCTGTTGTTGCCACAGCGCCCCCTGAAGACCTAGAACGTACATTACAACCGGAGTTGGAGCTCGCAGGAAGAAAAAGAGACGAGCAGCTCTACGAGAGAGAATATCAGAGCATGTTTCCCTCACCGGAGCTAAAAGAGGCCAAAGGAAGACAGATGTCGACCTGCGTTGTTGTCATTGGACAAAGAAGTCCAAACTTCTACTAGTTTGCTTTGTCAGCTGCTCCTTCTGCGACCTGAGGCCGATAAACCCACACAACCTTCATCCCTGCCTGACCCACACTGGACCTCCCAGTCGTTCCTCTCACCACCAACAGTGAACTGTTCATCCTGTAATTCACGTTGTAATTACGTTTTTTAAACTCTGTCTACACTTGATTTTAATTTCGGCTCGGAGGACACCTGCAGATGTTTGTCATGCTCCGTCCTCTGGAGGCTGCAGGGAGGATCTGAGAGACACAAGGTCGCGGCGTGAGTGTGAAGACCACCTACATGTTGTGAAACACGTTCGGCAGTCATGGTTCCCCACATTACCTCCTCGCCCCTGTCCCTCTGGAAGTCGGGATAGAGTACTAGTGGAAGTGGAACTCACAGAGTGGAGCTCAGAGAGAAGCTCGCAGGCCAATCAGCAGAGCGCTGGGTTGGTTTACGACGTCTGGTTCAAACTCTGAATGTTTTTATCATCTGGAGAGTCAGACTCACTCCTGCTGCAGCTGCAGGTCTGGGATCAGTTTTACATGGACAATAATATTCACACTGTTCAGATTATTCCCAATAAGACTTCAGTCAGCTGATGATGTTTACATGAGTTGCAGATGAAAGATTCCATTCATACCCGCGTTACCTCCACCACTGTCTGTGTGTTTATAAACAAGATTACACAAAAACTACGCAACAGATTTTCACTAAACTTGGTGGAAGGATGCATTATGGGTAAGGGAAGAACCCATTCAATTCCGGTGCAGATCGTAGACAGTATATGGGCGTGTTTAGACACACCCCTCGCTCCTTTCCAGCTCCGACTCATGGAATATCTATATATTCTATATCGTAGCGTTTAGAGGACTGGTATTTATGCATGTTTGTAATTTGGTGCAGATCAGTATGAACTCTTCTAGTGTGATTATGACTCACATCAACTTTACTTGCTTCTTGTTTACAATCAAACGCAGCACGCGTCTTTAAGTAGTTGGTAGCTGTCGTGTTTCAATGCTGTGAAAACTCCTAATGTTACTGGGATGTATACATCTCCACATAATTATGATTATCAATGAATCTTACATCAAACAAACACATCTTTTTTTGTGAATGAATGTTCCATGAATCGTTCTGGGTGGAACCAAGTGAGCTAACGACCACCTGAGTCCAGAGCGTCAACACAAACCCAGCAGCTTTTTAAACACCAACAAACAAACAGGCAGTTTTCAGCAACTCCAACGAACTCAAGACAAAACAGATTTGCTTATTCTGGGAGAAGGAGCCGCAGAGTTACTCTCAGAATGTGGAAATTACTTTTTTGATAAGAACGTTAACAAAAAATGTGCAGTTTCCTGAAACAGCTTCTGTGAAAATCTCCACAAATAGATTTGGACATTTGAATAAAAAAGTCCAAATAAACCAAACTAGAAGCTAATCAGCTAATTGACTGATATTAAATAATAATAATAATATTAAACCAAACATCATCAACCAAGAGCAAACCTGCTCAAACACAACCTGTGAGATCAGGAACATTACATCCAACTGGGGTTTAACCCTCTCTTTTCTTCTGAATGAAATAATGATGAGATGATTCATCAGAGCTTCTTATTAAACTCACCGGACTGGACGAAGAACCGGTTCCTCTCAACTGTCACTGCAAGTCCACCACAGCACCGAGCCTGAGCCGACCAGTCATATCCAACGTGTGTGTGTGTGAGTGTGTGTGTGTGTGTGTGTGTGTGTGTGTGTGTGTGTGAGTGTGTCTGTGTGTGTGTGTGTGTGTGTGTGTGTGTCTGCTCGGTGCTGATAGCGCTCAGTCCTGCAGCTCCAGCTCCAGAAGGTTTCACCACAACATCACAAACACAACAGTGAGTTCCTCTCTCTCCTCTCTTGTCCTCTTCACATCTGCGCTCTCTCTCTCTTTCTGTCACACACTTCACTTTTCCAGCCCTCCTCCTCCTCCTCCTCCTCCTCCTCTTCCTTCTCCTTCTCCTCCTCCTCCTCCTCAGCTTCTTCTCCACTCCCTGATTTTGGAGTGTTTCTCTCCTCCTCCTCTTTCAGCTCTTCCCACAATCTGCTCTTTTCCTTTTGTCAACTTCAATTAATTCACTTCATCTTTTTTCCTTCTCATCATCTCATCTTTCTCTTCTCTGCTTCTTTTTTTATCCTCTAACACTCAATCTATCTGCTCTCTCTCTCTCTCTCGCTCTGTCTCTCTCCGTTCTTCAGCACTTGTCATTCTTAATCTTGTCTGCATTTCTCAACTCTTCCTCCGTCTCACGCTTCATAGCTTGATCTGTCACTTTTCGTCTTTTCTCTCCGTGTTACTCTTCTTTTAGCGCCCTCTCTTTTTATTCTATCCTTCTTCTCAGCTCAGACCCTGCTTGTTTCTTCTCTTCCTTGAGGATACCCTCAACTGCACCTTTCCAAAAAACCATCTTCCACTCCCCTCATCTCCATTTCAACCTCCACTCCTTCCCTTCTTTTGATTTCTTTCTTGTACTTCTTCTTTTCATGTTGTTCACTCGCAGGAGAAAAAGTTTCTGAAGCCTCCTCCCGTCCTTTTCCTCCCCCTCTCTCGTTTTCTTCCCCTTCCCCCCTGCTCCACTTGGTGAGTATCATGTTTGGCTTCAAACTGAAGCACTTGGCTCCGGCACAGACCACATACATCAGTAACGCTGCTGCTGCCTTATGTCCTGACTGACGGCCACGCATTAGTGAAAATAAACTCGCTGCACACTGAACGCAGACTCATCACGTTTGTGTATGATTGAAAAACCCTTGGCAGAGCAGGAGGGAGTGAGCGAATGCCTAAATCAAGAGAATTAAAAGCAGGAGAAGAGTTTAAAGACGTTTGTGTTCTTTGTTCAGGTGACGTTTGCTGAGAAAGACAAAGGCTCGAGTCAGTTTGACATTTGTGTCCCCAAATAACCAAGGAGACAGAAGGTCTTAATTATTGTTTTGACTTGAAAACTAAACCGTCTATTTTTTAGAAAACTTCACTTTGCACAGACTGTCCACTGACTGACAGGTAGTAAGACAGACAGACAGACTGACAGGTAGTAAGACAGACAGACAGACAGACAGACAGACAGATGAGCAGACAGACGGACAGACAGACAGACGGCAGACAGACAGACGGACAGACAGATAGTAAGACAGACGGCAGACAGACAGACGGACAGATGGGCAGACAGACGACAGACAGACAGACAGATGAGCAGACAGGGTTAGAATTCATTTTCTGTCTCTGTTGTGTGTAAAGTGTTTTTCTGGTCACGTCCTCATTGGCATTCAGTAGAGATACTTGTGTACAAGTACAAGAGTACTTGTGAACGTGGTGCAGAGTCGTTAACAGCTCCTCCATCCACAAGCTTTTCCTCTCAGTCCTTCAACTTGCAGTTTAACTTGACGCTGTCGTGTTTGTGAGATTCTCCAGATCAGCCTGATGGTTTTGTGGTGAGGGGACGTTGACACTGGTTTTGGAGGTCGTGAGGGGCCACAGCAGTCGACTGAGTGACGGAGCCGTCCTGTAAAGAGCTCGACTTCTTTTTCAGTCTCCTTTTTGTTTGGTTTGTTATTTCAAAAAAAGGTCAATGAAATCAGACGCAAAGTTGAAGAATTTAGATGTAAATAAAACTCTATCGGTCTGAATCAGGTATTTGACGATCGGTCAGCTGAGACTGATACGTGATTGGTCTCGTGTGTGTATCGGTGGGACCTCGATACCACGACTCTACGTCACAATAGGTCGAAGTCAAACGTGTCGTTTCAGAGAGAGAGTGACGACCACTCAGCCTCGTATTTATAATTATCACCTGTAATCAATCTCAACGCGGAGCGATGAACAGTGTTCAACAGCTCCAGAGATAAATGATTTACTCTTTCAGAAGAAACTAGTCAATTCTGTTAGAACTGATCATATTGTCAATCAGCTGCCACACACACACACACACACACACACACACACACACACAGAGATCTTAGATTAGAGAACTTTTTATATCTCGTTGGTAACACACACACTTACACAAATGCACATACCGCACACACCCACACTCATCATCAGTTGGCCACTAGCACAGAAATACACACTGATGTTCGCTTCAGCTGGCGCATTCATTTCACACACACACACACACACACA